TATATATAGATAGTTGATAATTAAGATTTTCATGTCAATAGATAATTCGAATGATGTGAAGTTAGAAATTAATGTTATTTGATCATTGACTTTTAAATCTAAGACTATAGCATCTTTCTTCTCATTTCATATCAGTTTACTCTATTAATCGTAAAAAAAGAACTATATCTCGAAATTTTCTATGTCAAATCACCTTATTCTCTAATGAAATCTTTCTTCTTACTTAAATGTTATTAATTATTTTCTATTTAAATTTCTATTATACCTTGACAAGCATATGTTTTTCACTTGGTAATAAATAAAGTTTATTTTCGAACATATGTACACTTGTATTAACAACATCAGCAAGTAATTCTTCATAACCTATTTAAAAAAAAACCCAAAAAAAGAAATCTACTTAAAAATTTTTAATAGAAAGAAAAATTTTAAACAACCTTCGATTTGTGCTAATGATGTTTTAAGCATAGTTCGAATTTTATCATTTGTAGCTAAAAACATAGATAAATTTTGTGATTCAGTTAAAGCTGTTGAATCACTAATAACTCTTAAAAATTGAGCAGCTCTAAACATAAAATTCAATAAATTAATAATTATTTTTCAATGATATTGTTTTTTTTTTGTTCATACCTTCGATAAGCTGAATAATCATTTTTAACTGATGATTTCATATTTTTTAATTCATCAAGTACAGCAAACATATTTATAAATTCTCCTAATGTTAATAAATAAGCTTCACTAACAAATTCTTTTCGTTTTTCATGATGACATAAACGTCGAACTTGATTACAAAATGTATCAATTGCATTCATCTAAATATAATTTTATTATTAATTTAAATACTAATAAATTAATTTTATACTGAAAAATGCATAATAGCCATTAATTTTGCTACTTCTGGTTGTAATGCTTCAACAGTTTTCTCATAAATTTCAATACGATTTGGTTGTTCAGGTGATTTGACCTAGAATATATTGAAATAAAAAAATTATTCATTTGTTTTTTTTTGAAATCAAATTTAAAAAGACAAAATTTCCATTCCCATTAGAAAAAAAAAGTAAGCAGGGAAATTAAGTTAGAGCAAACACTCGAACTTACAAGATATTGACAATTAACTAGATAAATTAAATTATTCTTAAAACGAAGAAAAAAAAACAAAGAGAAAACTTCAAAATCTTACTGTTGGTATAGCTCGTGAACAACAACGCCATGTATACAGTGTCATTGCATGTTGATAACCTTGTTCAAGAAGAAGACTCTGAAAAAAAAGAAAAAAGAAAAATGAATTATTTTTATTAAAATTTTCATACTAGATTTGAATGTAAAACAGCTTCTTCAATATATTTTGATATTCCAGTAATATAAGCTGTTTTGTCTTCGAAATTTGTATCAAAATTAGCTTCATAAACAATAGCATTATTAGCACCTTCGACACTTGGTTGAGAATCAATCAATGGAAGTTCATAGAGAACTTCAACATTTGATAAAGCATCGGACATTGATACTCGAGTATTCATTTTAATGAGCAAAAGTATATATAAGATTACAGTTTTAACACGTGTGTGCTAGAATACAAAAAAAAGAAGTAGGGCGATTCGTATTGGATACTTTAACATTCAATAAAAAAAAATAAAAACATTGTTTGACAACAGCGAAAGACATGAGTGACATCTGTTGAATGAGATAATAGGAAATATTGAGTATATGAAGGCTTAATTAGAAGTTAAATATAATCATTATCTAAAGATGAAAAATTGGATCAATTATTCATTTAAATAAAATGACTGTATAGGAACATTTAGGAAGGTAAAAGGACTATTTTCAGTTCAGATCGTTCAATATTTAGCTGATTGAATTAGTAGATGATTTCTTTTTGTTTTTATAGACATTGGAACATTGAATACAAAGATTTTTAAGTGTTTCAATATGACAATCACTCAAAGAAAAGAAAAAAGAGTATCAACCTGATGTTTAGACTATAGTGAAACAACATTTTTTGATAGTATTATCGATTTATAA